GTGTATTGCAGCACTTTATGCAACTTATTTGCTGTATTGTTAATGAAAATTGAGTACATGTAAACCAATAGAGAAGTTCATTGTCTGCTATGTTACACAGCAATATTATTTTGCCAAAACAACTGAAAATAATAAAAGTTGTACATCAAGGGTTCAAGTCTTAAGTATAACACCAACAAAATAATTTTTTTGAATATAAGTTGATATAAAGGGTGTAATCTTGAAATTGCTTAGGAAGAAAATGATTTGGAGTTGTACAAAACTTTGCTGAAGAATACCCTCAACTAGTTACAATAATATAACAAAAGAAGAAGAAGAATTTGATTTAGTTTGAAAGTTCTGGTATGTAACTATAGTTATTAGTTTTTTAATATTTTAAAAATATATATAATATATTTAATATTTATTTATTTAATATTTTATATATTTTTAAAATTATATTTATATATATATAAACATAATAACTAAAAAAAAAAAACATAATAACTAAAAACTAAAACACTAAAAAGCATTGTCAAACAAACCAAAGATGTACAAAAACAAGCCTTATACAAATATCGTGCAAACATAACCTTTAACAAACAACTCAACTTGCCAGCACTATCCATAGACACAATCTCCACACCAGAAATCTGATGCATAACATAAACATTGAATCGGGGTGATCCAGCAACAGAAATCACTTGCATTGATCCCAATTCCTTCGTGAAATCTCTTGCTTTTCCAAACTGACCATGAGCACCAACACAATTGCTGAAATAAATTTCTGGCACAGGAGGGTCTAATCCTGCGCTGTAATCTGCTGAGAATCCCCAGAACCAACAGTAGTTCTCTGGCTCATTAATGGAATAACACTACACCATACCAGGCAATAACATGTTAACATTGATGGCAGGGGTGTAGGAAGCCATTGGCTGCCCACTGTCAACATGCATGTACAACGTAAGGCAACAAAGAAAAACTTCCTTAAAAGTAAACTCCGATCCAATGACATCAAAATACCACAAACCTAAGACACTCTGATAGCTGTCTTCCTTTTACCCTGGCTTGATTCGGTACTGGAATAGCTTGCATGATGTTTATTTCAATACTAATCACCCATCATGCTAAAACGCACATACACCTGTTTATTTTAAAAGGATCAGCATCAGCTTGATCTTCCTCCCGATACATAAAAACAAAGACGAAATAGTGGTGATGTATATGACAACGTATACATATAGGCGTGTGTGTGTGGATATGGAAAAATGAACCTACCTCGGATTTAAAATTTGAACAAAGAAGCAACAATTTCCATTTCATGCTTCTCTAATGCCAAACCAATCTCAACCCCACCACTCCCATCTCGACTCTCAGCCAAGGAAATAGCTCCGGTCCTATCTACAGACACAATCTCCACCTTCTTGGGTTTACCCCATCCAAAATTTAATCCATAAACATGGAAACGGGGCGATCCGGCAACAGTAATCATTTGCATCGATCCTGATTCTTTAACGATGGCATCCAACACGGCAGACCATTTATTTTTTGCTCCATCAAGAACCCCACCCTTTTCTAAGCCTTTAATCTCATCACTTAACATGTGTGCTCCAAAGGCTACCCCATTTTCATCCATAAGATCTCCTGCTTTCACACACTGACCGTGAGGACCAAGACAGTTTCCGAAATAATTTTCTGGCACGGAAGGGTCTAAACGTGTCCTGTAATCAGATGCGAATGCCATAAACACAGCTCTCTCACTTTCTCCCCCTCTTGCTTTCACCAAACAAGTTGCCGTATATGCGAATGCCAGCACAAAAGTTGACAGATGGATTGGTTTTTTTTTGTCCCATTTAGATAGAACCAATTCTCTGAGTTTGTTAATGTTGTCATGAGAGAGTAGAAATGTTGTCCGGACCAGATTAGGAGAAACTCTTCCTAGATTTTGTGACACCTTCAAGCTTCTCGTCTTGGGATCTGAGGCTGTAAGAGCTAGCCACTGGTTCAAGAAGAACAGATCAAGACCAGATGGATCTTTGATAACACCCCTGTCAAAAAACGGGGCTAGATCAGATGGTAACTGCAAAGGGTAGTTTTCTTGGTTGGTACATATGTAGGCCCAAGACTTGATAAACATCATCACACTTTTACCATCAAGCACTGTGTGATGTATTGTTAAGCCAATACAAAACCCTTTATTGGGAAACAGCGTTATCTGGATGGCTGTGATTGCCACAGCATCATGTGATGCCTTCAACTGAGGTACCAGAGGATGTAACTCAATAGCGTTAATGATTTCATTACCAGAGAGGCCGTTGAAGTCTCCGTCAGATTCAGCAACCGTGAGAGAAACAGCGTCATTTGGAGTATAGCGGATGACGGCCTTTGCAGCATCAGGTGACGGCCAAATAAGGTTGCCAGCAAGAGGGAGGAAGTGTAGGAGAGTAAGAGAAAGGGATTTCTTGAGTTTGGGGAGAACTTCGGAGTTGAAGAAGGTAGGATTTGAGTCAGCTGGTAAGGGATAAAAGAAGAGGCGCTCCACAGGGGAGAACTTGAACCAGTAAGTGTCAAAGAAGGTAAGCGGGAGAGTGAACTCGGCAGCAGAGGTTGGAAATTGATTAGAAGATGGGGCAACCTCTATCACCTCAACTATTCTCACTAAATCATCAGATGATGCCATGAATAACAGTCACTACTTCATGTATTTTACGGTGATTGAAAGAATCCCCTCCTTCTCCAGTGGTGGCTGAAAGAAAATCATCAGATATAGTCACTATACCCACATTCTCGAAGAGTAGGGTTTTAATATGCACGATATATGGGTACATTCTGGTAGAATCATTAAAAGCATAAATGAAAAATAATCAAAACATTCTTATACAAATAAAATACAGGAAATTTGTGTACGAAGAAATGAAACAAAGTTTAGATCTTTAAAGCAAGAGCAGCACATTAACCCTTAGTTTGGATCGGAGAAGTTGGAGGAAAAAGGAAGAAGAGAAAAATGCCTCGTTGTCATGTCTGAATTATTGATTTTAATAGAAGGGGAGGGACATAGAGGAGATGTAGCTCTCCACTACACAATTTTTAATTTCTCTTAATCCGAAGAATTTGAAAGTATTGGCTTTATACCTTTATTTTTTAAATATATTTTACATCAATTTTTCTAACTAATGAATTTTAAATATTATATTATATTATATTATTTTAAAAATTATTTAATTAAATAAAAATATTATCTCCATTCTATTCTATTTTTATCTATTCAAATAAATTTATCAACAATCACTTCCTTCTTTTCACTTCTCCTTCCCTTCCCCTTC